GTTATTTATTGGAATTTCATTCATGAGGATGACTTGTTTTGTTTCGAATAACAACAATCATCCTCAAGAAGAATAACTACATTTTCGTTGCTTGTCATGTAAGTAACTTACAAAAAGACATTAATTATAATTCACCACAGAAACGCCTCGTCATAATTTCACCTTACTATAAAAATAGATGAATTTCCCGTTTGTCTGAACAGAAATGTGCCCTGTGCTCTCATTTTGTGTGACCCTTTTTCATGACCCCTTTTTCATCGCATGTGTAGCTCATTGACATTTTGGGAACCGTTATTAACAAGTGCTGCTTCTGAATCTGAATCAGTTTCTTTTCCACTGTTTGGTAGTCTGGTTTAAAATAAAACCGAAATAACAAACTTGAATGAATGTAAATGTATCTTTAAACACCATACCCTATTCCCAGGTATGCACCTATTGGTATCCTCTTTCTGATTGCTGGAAAAATCGTGGAGATGGATGACATCACTGAAATGGGCGGTCAGCTGGGCATGTATACGATTACAGTGATAATCGGCCTCATGATACACGGCATGATCATTCTGCCGACTTTGTACTTCGTCATCACGCGGAAGAACCCCTTCATCTTCATCACGGGTTTGCTGCAGGCCCTCATCACGGCTCTTGGTACCTCGTCCAGGTAAGTCCGACAGTGTCAAGCTGTCCAAATCAGGAATATTTACTCTCATTTCACTTTTTCATATTTTTTTTTACATCTCCCAGCTCAGCCACTCTTCCGGTTACCTTCAAATGCCTTGAGGAGAATAACAAAGTCGACAAACGCGTGACTCGATTCGTGCTGCCTGTTGGAGCCACAATCAACATGGATGGAACAGCGCTGTATGAAGCCCTGGCAGCCATCTTTATCGCCCAGGTTAACAACATGGATATGAACTTTGGGCAGATCATAACCATTAGGTGGGTTATTTTGAAATATAAATAATTCATTAAGAAAACTGAATGACGTTTCTGAGCGTGATTAGTATTCTCTTTAATAATACAGCATCACAGCGACTGCTGCAAGTATCGGGGCGGCCGGAATCCCTCAGGCTGGTCTGGTCACCATGGTGATTGTGCTGACCTCTGTCGGACTCCCAACCGATGACATCACCCTCATCATTGCAGTTGATTGGTTCCTGTGAGTGACCGTTTGTAGAATCTCAATATGATTTGGTTTAAAAGGAAATAGTGGTACAGAAATATATTTATTGAAGTATTTTGCAAAATAAGGCAAAACAAGAATGAAAAGTGACTGCGTTTGGCACTTTATCTTTCCTCTCATTTGGGACTCCCTTCATTTTTTTTTTTCCATTATCAACCCAGGTGACACACTTTGATGTGTTCCCACGAGACTTGCTCCATTTTTTTTTTTTCGTGAATTTCATGTAATTCAATTGGTTTTAACATAGAAACGTAATTAGGTTGGCCAAATTAATCATTCCAGATAGATCCCCACAAGTTACACGGCTAAAAGAGCCTCTTTTTAAACTAGGATGAAAACTGACATGAAAGTAGGAAACTTTTTTTTTTTTTACAACTAAACAAGTATCGCTGATCGCAATAAATCGATTCTTCATTTCCTCTTTTATTCCCTTTTCTTTTGCACTTACAGTGATCGACTTCGCACAACAACTAACGTCCTGGGAGATTCAATAGGAGCTGGAATCATAGAGTTCCTGTCCAAAGATGAGCTTCAGAACGCCGATGTGGAGTTGGGGAGCTCAGTGCTGGAGGAGAATGAAGTGAAGAAACCTTATCAGATGATCCCTCAGGAGAACGAATATGAGAATGAGAAACCGCCAGACAGTGAGACCAAGATGTAGAGGATGCATAATCAACCCCCAACCAAGGATTTTTTGTGTGATTGCGTTTGTATATGTACAGTGGCCCTAAAAATATATGAACACTTAAGATGCACTTAAAAATATAAGAAGTTCATTGCTTTTAATGAGGAAATATCAAACTAAATGGCATTTATTTCAAAGAAATATAGTATAAGCATGGTATTTAAGCATTTGGACACTTTCTGGTTGTCAAACTTGGAATAATGTTCATAATTATGGATATGAACTACACTTAACTTCATGCATTCACAAAAATGACTAAAAAAGTGAAGTCAGTTTTGAGAAAAGCCCCAAGTTGCTGCTTGGTTTGATATTTAGCTATCTATGCAATAAAATTCATAAGTTTTTGAAGCGTTGATTAAGTGTCCAAATATTTTAGGGGGCATTGTATATGTATATTTAGTTTTGTTTTTGAATATTTCATTTTCAAACTTCTTTTGACCTTTTACTGTAATTTGGTTCTTGTGCTTTTGTCTCCTGTCTGCAGGTCATACCGATTGTTAAATTGATTTGGCAGGAGAGTTTTACCTTGACAAAAATATATAATAATTTTTTGTATTGCTTTTTCATTATTTTAATAATTAGCTGAAATGTAAATCTATGTGGAGGGCATTGGTATGTTGGTGACCAGCGTTTGTTACATGCGCTATAATACAAGCAGCAAGATTTAAACCTTAAGAGTGTCAAAATGAACAGGGTCATGACTGTACACAGAACTGATTTTTAAGCAGAAATGAATGTAAGTAAATTATTAATCTGATGAACAGACAGAAGTTCATTACACTTTGTTTAATGAACAAGTTGAATATGACATGGGCAGGATTCCAAGATTAAATACTTTTGGGCTCCATGTATAAAGTGATCATCTACAAATGGAGTATAAAATGTCAAACTGTAAATATCAAGAGAAAATGATGTTTAGCTTTGAAAGCTGCTTTACAGATCTTTATGTATGAGAAGATTGAGTGTTTCAGCAGCTATTACAGCAGATATTGTTTTCTCAGCAGCACCGCACAACTAATCCTAACTGAACACACACATACTTATGCGTTTATGAGATTTTTTATTGTTTTTTATTCTGCTGTAGTTCATCCACTGACCATTTTTATTGCCATTTGCTAACATTAACGATAAATAGAAATAATATGTAGCTGCTACTGATTATTAATTGTAGGAAAATGGACTGAATGTTTACAGTCCTACGGTTGCAATGACATACAGAACTGAGTCGTTCTGAAAACTGTAAATCTTTTGAAAACATGCTATAGACAGGTTGGACTCACATGTACTCAGCTGGAAACTGTGATCTTATATTTGTTTGCCGTTTCTTTCTTTTTTTTTTTAAATGCGTAGTTTTTTTTCATGTTGCTGTATATTTCCTGTCAAGTCCATAAAAAGCAAAATGGGTGATTAGAACTATAGAATAAAGAGCATACGGATGTTGTGTGTTAAATATAGTTTTGAATAAAATGGAGAGTGGCAATACATTGCGTGGAAATTTTTGTTTTACTGATGATAGATGAGTAGTTTTCAACAAACTCTGCTATCAGATTGGAGAATTAGCCTAATAAATATAATGAGGGATATAATTAATATATTTAAATATATTTATTAAAAAGGCCAAGACAAACTTATACTTATACCTACTTAAACATGCCTATAACCTATACTTCACACCATAAAAAAAAAAAAACATTTCTTACCTAGTGGATCATTCTTAATGGACTTATGCTGCCATCTAGTGGCCAATGATTTTCTTCAGACAAACAAAAGCACTACATTCAAACAAAGTTAATGCACATATTTGAGTTAAATGTCCAATTACGCAAATGCTTGTTTTCTGTGTCTATTTCAAAACCCTCCTTTATTAGAATATATCGAGGATTCTGTCCTCAAGATTGAAATTCCAATATAAATGCATACATTTATCCTAATTGTTGGCCAGTGGCTTTTCATTTTTTGTGCATTTCCTTTTTACAGTTTTGCTGTTCAATAATCGTTTTACTGTTTTATTGTGCCACGAAGCATGTAAATGTTATTTAGTTGCAGGTTCCATATTGACAGTTTGTCCCATTCGGTATGACAGTATGTCTTGACGTTGGGGTATGTTGTCACAAAAGGTCAGTAGGTGTTCAATGAAATGCATGCATCGTTTTTCGGGGTGCAAATGTTTAATAGTTACGAGCTTAAAGTATGTGCCTATACCGAAGTTACAGAAGTCATATTTACTGGTTTAAGAAGTGTGACAACTATCCCCTATTATTAACATAACGGCATTTTTAGTGTAGTACCGTGAGAGGGCGCAGTTGAGCTGACATCCAGATGCGTATAGTATACGAACAGAAACATTGGTTCAATATTATTGTTAATAAAAAAAACATTCTTATTTTAATCAATTATTTTAAGTCAACCAATTTTTTGATAGTAACTTTAAAAGCCAACGCAAGACACCATAGGTGCATAGGGTTAAAAAAATTACTAGTTATCACCATACATCCCCAGTCGAACAACTGCAGTACATTAATAAATTCAATTTTGCATTAAAAGTTTTCTGTTAAGTCTGAAATGTACTTAAGCCCAGGTTAATTTTTTAATAAAAAAATAAAATAAAATAATGTTTATATAAATCAGGAGAATGATATATGAACAAATTGATAATGCATGCAATCAAACTGCATGAAAAAAAGGGAGAGAACGTCCTTTATTGTATTGTAATCGAAATCTACAGACGCAAACAAATCGAATGTAATAAATAAATTAAACACTTTTAAGTGTATTTTGGATGTTTTCTTTCCGCTGGTCTGATTATTATGAAAGCAAAAGATCACAAAACCCCAAAACTGACTGCGTTCAAAAACAATAGTTTTGCTGTAGCGTCTTGCCTCAAATTAAAAAAGATAATTTTCTAATAAGCCTTCACGTTATTTATACACATTTAATGAATACTAGAAAGCAAAAGCGTGAATGAGGAGAAAAGAAGAGAGGAGGGAGAAGAAAACAGAGTGGAGGATGATAGAGGAGAGGATGGGAAGCGGCGGATGGAAGAAGGAGGGAAGGGGAGGAGAGCAGGCAGCGGAAGTCGGCGGGTCGCTGCTGGTTGGTTCGGCGCCGGTGGAGGGAGTCATTCCTGCAGCAGTGCTTCCGGTCGGCATTTTGTTCTGCGAGAGAGAGAGGGAGTCTGTGTGGATTCTTTTTTGAGCGCCCAGGAGCCTTTCGGCACCGAATCTTTTTCTGCCATCGTCCGGAGTAAAGTGCGAGCTTCCGCGGACGCCTACGAGAGGAATGACCGCCTCCAGTCCGTCTTCATGTTCGCAGTGAGAGGAAGCGGTGCGACCCGGATTATTGTTGTGAGAGGGACACAGCGAGCCCGAACCCCCCACCTTCACCTTTCAACAACAGAGCCTCAGGTAAATGCGCCGGGCCCGTTTCGCTGGTTCCGAGCGGGGAAGCACAGTAGCCCGTTCTCGGGGTGGGACTGCTTCGGACTTTCCGAAAGGTTATCGGTGTTGTGCAGCCCTCGCTTCGCGTTAGCATACGCGTTAGCTCGGTGCGGGCCCGCAGGCGAATCCGCGGTTCGGATGGTTCGCGAACGAAAGGCCAAAACGGGCAGTTTAAACAGACTCAGCCGGTCCAGGGGGGTTCGTCTGGAGATGCAGATGTGCAGCTGAACCTGAAGCCCGGAGATAAGAGTCATACAGGCCTGCAGCTCCGCAGACCAGAGTAAACAATACTGTCCTCTCATAGTAAACCTCATTCACCTTCCATCAGAGTAAACAATGCTGTGATTTTAGAGTAAAACCGTTTCCAGCATCTGTCAGAGTACACAAAACCATATCAGAACAATCCATATGAACTAGAAATCACAATGAACAATACTCTCATATTCGAACAAAACTTAATAGCCATTAGAGTATAAACAATGGTCATTTTAAGCAGTTCTCATTCGCCGTTTGTGAGAATAAACACAAACTCTCCTCTTATTTAGCATTTAGCTCAGTAAACAATATCATAACCATGTAGATTAGATAGTAAACCTGATTAATTATTCATCAGAATAAACAATACTCCCTTCCTAAAGCTGAACTTACTAGACATCAGAATAGTTTTATTAATGAGATCCACAATATCTAATTATAGCAAACCTTTGAGAATCTGTCAAAATAAAGAGCAAACAATACACTCTTGTACTGAATAATGCTGGCATCCAAAAATTCATAACTATTATTCATAAGGGTTTTACCTGCAGCTCAGTATAATTTTCATTTACTAAGGCGAATATGAAATTAGTTTCGGTGCTTGTTTACTGTTAATTATCTTTGAATATAAAGGTTTGTTAAAGCATATATGAAATGATTGAAGTCATAGTGAGATTAGTAATATCATACACAAATATTGTAAACATTTATAATGCTCATGTGTTTCTAAAGAACAGAATAAAATGATCAGTCTTTTATAAACAAAAACGTTCAATAACTCAATATCTATACAGTTATTGTTATAGAAAATAATTTTATTTTATATATTTGAAAACAAAATTGAGGCTTTATTTAAAAAAAAAAAAAAAATGCAGTTTGAGTTTGAAAGAGTCCTTATGACTGCTAAGATTGAATGAATGAATGAATGAATGAATGAAATGCTGCTAGGAGTCAGTTAGCTTTAGCAGTTGATATCCAAAACGTGCACAAATCAAAAACCAAAAGTAAATTTAAAGTTCTGTGTTTGTTGACAAGATTCTGGCTTCATAACAGTAGATTCCGAGAAGGGATTACAGTTGAAATCGCTCACGTTTATGACAAGACTGTCAGATTTGTTGGTTTAAATTGCTGTGGTGTTTTACTGGAGCAGCTGGTGCTGCAGAAACATTGAGTTGTGGCTGTAATCTGGGAGTGAGATTTCACATAGGAGACCTATATTTATATATTTACCTTTAATAAATTAACAGACACGATGAAGCTTGTCCTGGGATGAACTTTAAATGACTTGCCTGTTCAACATAATTTGATGCTTTTGCAGTACATTTGTTCCTGTTGTCTTTCATTTTTACTTGGATAAATGTTTGTGTAATAACAAGTAGCTGTATTCACAGTAGCACTTTTCACAGTAGCACTTTTCCTGGTTTTGTTTCATTATTACACTGTTGTCTAGTCAGTCAATAAGGCACCATGATGAGTCACCCAAACTAGATAGATAGATAGATAGATAGATATTGAAATAGAGAGGGAGAGAACTGGTCAGGATCTGTTTGGTTGGGAATATCAATCAAGTTTGAGCTATACTGGCTTATATGTGTAGTCCAAAGACTGTGTGGATGAAAGCTCTGTCTACTCATGCACATCTATAATTGTGTTGCACAATGTATAGTCCTTCTTTTTATTTGTTGTTGTGTAATTATGGCCTAAATATTATGTTATTGTGTCCATCAATTATAGATTACCGCCTGCCAGAACCACCTGTAGAATTAGTGGATTATTCTGCTAATTCTTAGTCGTACTGTTTATATAAAATTGTACTTGATGTTCTTGAATGCTAAAGGTTCATTCAAAAAATTAACTAGAAGTGTGTATTCTCCAAATCAGTCTCTAAATGTAAATAACAATATTCATTCATTTTTTTTGTGCATAATAATAATAATTATAATTGCATATTGCATAATACTACTATTACTATTAATAATAAATGTAATGTACATAATATAAAAATGACTGAGTTTATTACTAAATAATATGAATTGATAATTATTAATATTGTTAATTATAATAATAATCATTATTTTGTTAATAATAATAATAAAATGTTTGCAATGTATATGTCTAAAACATTGTTTCTATTAATAATAGTAATATTAATAATAATAAAATAGCCCTCAATATTGCTTTTTAAACAATTAAAAAATAATCTGTAATGGTTTTCAAAAAAACAATAACAATACTGGTCAATTTCTGTTATTGTTTACATAGGCTATTACCATAAAAAGAAAATACAATTAATCTCAAGTAATTTTTTCTTTTTAGTTGTATTTTCTGAATGTTTCCTCCATTCCACTGCTTCCAGTTGCTCTCGTAGCAGTGAAACGCGGGGCATCCACAGGCAGCTGCTCGTCTTTTATGTTTTGGAATTGATGTTGGAGTCTCACTGAGACTCTGGTGGTTTGCTAGAGGAAATGATTGGCTCTTGAGCAGCTGAATGCAGCTGAAGCCAAACTCGAGGTTTTTCCAAATGTGTTGCAACCGTCTGTGGAAGACCTTCCTGTTTCAACAGGACCGTGTCTCCTGCAGCCTGTCCCACTGCCTGATGGGAAACCCTTCTAGAGGAGTGCAGGCAGTTTTAGAAGCATGGGGGGAGGGGCAACTACAAAATAAAGCCCATTTGATGAGCAGATGCGCGTGTAGTTTTGGCCTTGCTTGGTGCCTCTTTTGTTCTGTGCATAATGCATATGGTAAGTTTAAAATTAAGGTTTTGGCTTTTATGTATATGGCTCCATGGCTCCATTTGTTTTCCATTTGTAATATTTTTCGATTCGAAAGTCTGTGGTTGGTAAGATGTTTTAAAAGCAGTCTTATATGTACAAAGGCTGCATATATTTGGTCAATAATATAGCACACAAACAGTAATATTATTAAATATTATTACAGTTTAAAATGACTTTTATATATTAATATATTTTAAAAAATTATTCCTGTGATGGCAAAGCTGAATTTTCAGCATCATTAATCCAGTCTTCAGTGTCACATGATCCTTCAGAAATCATTCTAATATGCTGATTTGCTGCTCAAGAAACATTTCGTATTATTATCAATGTTGAAAAGATTTGTATTGCTTAGTATATTTGTGGAAACCTTTTTTTCAGGATTCTTTGATGAATAGAAAGTTCAAAAGGACAGCATTTAAAATATAAATCTTTTGTAAGATTGCCACTTTTGATCAAATTAATGCATCCTTGTTGAATAAAAGTATAAAGGATTTTTTTGAATGGTAGTATACAAAATAAAAATGAAACTAAATCTTGTAATTTTAGTCAATGCAAACACAATAAAAACCTCTTTATGAAATATTAAACTAAACTGACAAGATGAAGTAAATGAAAACTAGTGTCACCAGAACTGTAATAACTTGATTTGTACTGTTCTCTGGTTTCCTAGCATCATAGCACTTGTATTCCTAAAAGTATTTTAATTGCAATATGGTGCTATTTTTTCCATATGTCAGAAAAGAAAGTTCTCATCATAATACTGAACCTGATGATGATGTCATCATGTCCTCTTCTTCCTCTTGCAGCGAAAGATGTAAAGGTGGATCAGTGAGCAGCGACCTGTGCATCCACGCGAGCTCCCTGTCCTTCTTCAGCATGAATGGGGATATGCCTCATGTTCCTATCACCACTCTCGCTGGGATTGCAAGCCTCACTGACCGTAAGTTGCACAAACGCTTGCTACCTGAACTTATATAACAAACCTCCCTTAGCAAATTATTTATGCACATTGTATCTCTTAAACACATTTCGAAATGTAAAGTAAATAATTTTAAATTGATCATTATCAGATAAAGGAGTACCATCAAGAGTTAGTAATCTTCTGCTCATCATTTGACTTGAACATAGTGGCCACCATAAGAGGGAGACCACCCTTATGCATGATAAAGTGTCTTTTTGTCATACAAAGATCAACACATTTATCGAAAGTACTATTGATTTCTCTTTGGGTGTTAAAATTAGTTGGTGTACCTTCAAAATTGTGTGTAAATATTCATCCAGACGATATATACTGATGAATGCCCTCTTTTGTTTGGCTTTAAATCGATAGGACTTGGACTTGATTTGTACAGGCAATAATTTTCTTTGTGACTGGATCGAAACGGGAAGTCCCGAAGAAATGAGTGAAATATTTCATGCCTCCTGTTGTGGTAAGGAATAACTCATTTTTTGTGTGTTTATTTCTCAGTGTTAAATCAGCTGCCTCTCCCTTCCCCTCTACCTGCCACCACCACTAAGAGCCTGCTATATAATGGGAGGATCGCTGAGGAGGTCAGCTGTCTGCTGTCCCGGCGGGATGACACTCTTGTGTCCCAGCTGGCCCACAGCCTCAACCAGGTGTCCACCGAGCACATGTGGGTATCTCACCTCGGCCTCCTTCCTTCAGTGCATCCTCACCAAATGTGGTTATTTTACATGATATGTGAAATATCTGTGCGTCTCATTCAGTCTTTGTGGTTTTACATGCAGAGAGCTGAAGGACAACTTGGGCAGTGATGACCCGGAAGGAGATGTGCCTCTACTGCTACAGACGGTGCTGTCCAGGAACCCCAATGTCTTCAGGGAGAAAAGTACGCCCACCCGATACGGGGTTCAGGGCGGTAAGGAGAAACTGCAGAAATAAAGCTGTTTAGTCTGGGCATGCTTTTATTCTGTGATCTCTGTTTAAGTTTCCTGAATTAGAAATCCCATTTTTTGTAGCTTCCAGACTGTAGTGTTAATTAGTGGTAACTTTAATTATAATTTTAGCTGTATGAAATCCAAATGCCTTTGAAACTGCCTTAATGTAATCTTTTTACATTTTGACTATGGTCTTGCACTACTGTTCAAAAGTTGGGGATCAGCAATCATTTTTTTTTAGAATAAAGTCTCTTATGCTCAAACATATAGTAAAAATGGTAATATTATGAAATAATATTTGATATATATTAAAAAGTTATTTTTTTCCTGTTATGGCAAAGCTGAATTATCAGTTGCCTTTAGTCCAGTCTTCAGTGTCACATGATCCTTCAGAAATCATTGTAATATGCTGATTTGGTGCACAAATAACTTTTCTTATTATTACAGTTGAAAACAGTAGTTCTGCTAAATAAATATAAAGTCCAAAAGAAAGGAAAGGAAAGGATGTGTGGCAAAGTATGGTGTCCCATGCTTGGAATTTGTGCTCTGCATTTAACCCATCCAAGTGCATACACACAGCAGTGAGTAGTGAAACACACAATGCTGCGGCGCCCGGGGAGCAGTTGGGGGTTCGGTGCCTTGCTCAAGGGTCTCACCTCAGTCGTGGTATTGAGGGTGGAGAGAGCGCTGGATATTCACTCCCCCCCACCTACAATCCCTGCCGGACCTGAGACTCGAACCCGTGACCTTCGGGTGACTCTCTATCCATTAGGCCACGACTTTATTTGAAATATAAATTTTTAAGTCTTTACTGTCAGTTTTTATCAATTTAATACATCCTTGCTGGAAAAAAAAACTTTTAATTAACTAATTAATAAAAAAATGTTACAGACCATAAACTTTTGAACAGTGGTGTATATTTGCAAATATTGTAAGTGTTCAATATTTTTTTACATTTGGGTCACAAATTGCAGTGTTATTTTGTTCCTAACTGAGTTAAAACTAATCTATTTAGTTGGAGTTCTAGTCAGACAGCACACAAAGTCAACATTTTAAATCATAATTTGTTGACACTCTTTATTTTTTGCTTTGAAGGTTTAATGCAACAGCCAATGATACCACCGTACAAGATGCCTCAGAATTCAATGCATGGAAGTCCGGCGTCAAACTACCAGCAAACCACTATAACTCCGAGCCCTCCCAGGTACTGTTCCAGTTTCCTTTTTATTTGGGTTAGATAGGTAAGTGGCAAACAGCATACCATTTGAACGGCATATGGTGTGATTAAAGTAATTAAAATATGCTGAAGAACCTGGTTCCATTTCCAGTCTGTATACTGACCGGTTCTGCTCTTATTCGACAGCCGATATGTTCAACCTCAGGCGGGCTCTGGTACCAGGTACATGCCCCAGCAGAACAGCCCAGTGCCCAGCCCGTATGCGCCACAGAGCCCCGCAGGCTACATGCAGTACAGCTACCCTCAGCACCAACAGATCCAGCAAGGTGAGTCCCTGCTCTCCTCTCTGAAGAGAACCTCAAGAGGATTGTCACCGTTTTCAGTATCTGTAGTCTTAAAACACCTCAAGGCTCAAGGAAAAGTGGTTTTAATAAGGTTGGTTCTTAGTGAATCTTCTTTTATCCATGTCCCTTGCTGAATGATATGACTGAAAACCATTGCTTGCTGTTAAAATCAAAAACTGAAATGTGTATTTCATTTTTTAATGCAAATTCTTGTTCTTGTTGTGAAAAATTAGTCATTGCAGATTATTCCAAATAAAAATAAGTCAGTGAATACGTTTTTTTTTTTGTGTGTGTTGCAGTATCCGTATCCAGTCCGATAGTTCCTGGTGGCATGAGGAACATCCATGACAACAAGGTCTCCTGTCAAGTGTCGGGTAACTCCAACCATAATGCGAGGCATTGCTCCAACGATGAGTACATCAGCATCGTCCAGAGACTTGGAAATGATGTGAGTGCTTGCCAACAAAAGTTTTTTTAACCCTACATATATTTCTGCCTCCAGATTATTTTTCTTAATTCGATTGGGCCTAGATCTGTATTAACAGCACATTTTTCAACCCATGTTGTCTGTGTTTTCACAGGAGAGTGACCCCGCTATGAGAAACGCCTCTTTTCCTGTACGCTCCGTCTGCTCCCCTGCAGGAAGTGAAGGAACTCCGAAAGGTAGATTGAATCTCAATTTTTGTACCTATACCATTTTTAGGTGGGGTATGCTTTTAGGCCCCTATTTACACCCCCACTGGTCTTTTTCAAATTGTACTTGGGGTACGTTTGTGGCATCAACTTAAGTACCACAGTCTTTACTACTGGCAGTTGTGTACCTCTGTAAGTTTGAGATAATGCCATATTCACTGTTTATTTTGTGTTATTGTCACTTTCAACAAACACCCTTTACACATATGCTTGTACGTATAGCATGTATGTATTGTATTGTGTGCTTGTTGTTCTCCCAAGGAAATATATTCAGAGACAAGCAGCTATGAGAAACTAATACTCTCCTATTGTTAAGATGTGATATAAGGAGTACTGTTTCTGTGTCCAAGCCTCTACTTTTTTCATTTGAGAATATTATTTCAACAGACATTTAATTCACGAAAGATGAATTCATGAAAGATGAATCACTATCTGGTTAAGTGTAATTTCTGTATGGAGATAAAAGTTAGGACCGTTATTTATACAGGGTGACTATATATTATGACCTTATGTTGTTTGCTTGTGGCATCTTATAAAGTGTTTGGACTCACAAGGTCAGACTTAACATATGGATATGGAGGGTAACGTGAATGTGCAACGATGCAGAGATTAAACCAACCAAACTCTGACAAACTGGTTCATTTTGTTGCCATATTGCTGATTTACACAAAAGTATAATTTTTCTATTTTATGTTGGTTACATTTCAGTTGGATCTCGGCCGCCCTTGATTCTTCAGTCTCCTCCACCCTACACCTCCCCAAGAGATGCTGCTCCTGACCTCCTGTTGGACTCTCCCGAACGGAAAAAGAAGCAGAAAAAGTTAATGAAAGATGAGGGGGGTAAAGGTGCATTGTACGACATTGTCAGCTCACCCACTAAAGACTCCACAAAGCTAACAATAAAGTTGTCTCGAGTGAAGTCTTCTGAGACTGAGCAGTCAGCTGAACCGTTGTCGGCGGTAGAGCATGGCTCAGATGCTGAGAATGAACTATCGTGCAATAGCTTACCATACCACCGGAACCCCCAGGAACGGCTCTCCGCAGGACAGTGTCTTTCGGGTGAGCAGTCGGCCTACCAGCAGGTTCCTGTTCTACAGAACACTGGGGCACTTGCAGCCAAGCAACCCGGGGTAGTTAGTGGAACCCCCTACGACGAGGCAGAGCTGGATGCTCTTGCTGAGATCGAAAGGATTGAGAGGGAATCCGCTATCGAACGAGAACGCTGCTCTAAGGAAGTTCAAGATAAAGGTTGTGTTTATTTTCTAGTTGTCACTTGACGTGCATGCTTTTAATCAATTATCTAAATGCTTTAATCTGAATGACCGCTTTTATTACTGGTGCTTGTGAAGGTGTAACATGCTAACTACAACTGTTAGCAATGTTCTGGCACCCACTCGGAACATTCAAGCAACTGCATACTCCACTCATATTTGTAGATGAAAATGTAAATGTGTTGAATGCTGCTTCTTACCTGTATGATTCTTACTTTTCAGATAAACCTCTGAAGAAGAGAAAGCAGGATTCGTACCCTCAGGAACCAGGAGCTGCGGGCACCGCAGGGTCTTCTGGAACACCTGGCGTGGGTGGCGGATGCAATGCTGGGAACAAATTGGTACCTCAAGAGGCTTGTGCTGCTAGTAACGGAGCCAGTCGGCCGGCCTTGATGGTCAGTATAGACCTTCAGCAGGCAGGCAGGGTGGAAGGGCCAGTGGACTCCTGTCCTGTCCCTGCAACAGAGGCCCAGCGCTGGCCAGAAGATGGTTCTGAATCCACCGGGGTCTTGCGGCTTAAATCAAAGACAGATGGAGAGGTGCAGAAGACTGTAGATGGTCGTCCAGAAGTCATCAAGCAACGGGTGGAGACTGTGCCACAGAAAACTGTTTCAGATGGACGACCAGAAACTCCCAAACACAAGCACGAGAACCGCCGGGAGATCTCCAACAAAGTTAGTTCGGAAAAGAAATCGGATCCCTCCAAGCACAGACATGACGGTAAACCTGACAAAGTGAGGCCTGAGGGAAAAGGTCATGAAACTCCCAGAAAACAGGAAGGACGGTCGGAGTCGACTCGAGAGAGCAAAGGGGAGAGGCAAAAAGATCGGGAAAATGAAGGCTCTAAAGTCCGACGACCAGACACATCTAAGTCCAGCCGGGTAGAGCACAACAGGGACGTAGATCGGGACCAGGAACGGGAAAAAGAAGGGGAAAATCGGGACAAGGAGCGAGAGAAAGATCGAGACAAGGTGCGGGACAAGGAGCAGGAGAAAGATCAGGACAAGCTGCGGGAGAAAGATCGGGACAAGCTGCGGGAGAAAGATAGGGACAAGGTGCGAGAAAAAGATCGGGACAAAGACCGAGACAAGGAGCGTGTTAAAACTCGGGACAAGGAGCAGGAGAAAGATCGGGAAAAGGAGCGGGTAAAAGATCGGGACAAGGAGCGGGTAAAAGATCGGTACAGGGAACGAGAAAAAGATCAGGACAAGGAACGGGAGAGGGTCCGGGACAAAGATCGGGACAAGGATCGAGACCAAGAAAAGAAACGCCACACAGAATCAACAGAGGCCCGGGACAAGCGGTCTCCTGAGCAGCGCTCCCGTCCTGACAGTCCACGGGTGAAGCAGGAACCTCGTAGTGGAGCAGAATCCCGAACAAAACCTGAACGGTCAGTCCACAAAACTCCCAACAACAAAGACGAGAAACGGAGTGGAGACAAGAACCGACTCGATGGACACAAGCCTCCGTCCTCGGACAGTAAAACAGTAGAATTTCCCAACTACCTACTGGGGGGCAAATCGAGTGCATTAAAGAACTTTGTCATTCCCAAGTTGAAACGGGACAAAGATGGTAACGTGATGCAAGAAATGCGACGAGAGCTGTTTTCCGAGCCACTTGTGAAATTAGAAAAACTGGACCTGGTGGAGGACCTCAATAAGGGCGCCAAACCTGTTGTTGTTCTGAAGAAACTTTCCATTGATGAGGTCCAGAAGTTGATCAGTAATTCGTGCAGCAAGTCAAGCAAGAGCAAGTCGTCTTACGGAAAATTTGGAGGTAAGTCCCGTTTTCATGACCAGTGAGTTTTTTTTTTAGCTCATTGTACACAGATTTGACAGACTGTCTGAATATGCATTTGAAGAGTTTGAGTAGCCCTCTCTGTAGGGTGCTTCAAGGATTCAGTGTTAACGGAACTTCCTCATCATGTGCTGACAGAGATGGATTCCCGTGCACCACTGTGTGAGAGGGTGAAAATGAATAAACGCAGACGCAGCTCCACTAATGACAAGCCCAAGTATGCTGAAGTCAGCTCAGATGATGACAGTAGCTCTGTAGAACGTAAGTAAATATACTGAATCTAATGTTGTTTTCACACTTAATGTGCCTGCTTGATCCGAATCAGGTTTTTACTATCAATCTTATTTCAAAAAATGAAATGGAAAGCAATGCTTTGGTTTAGTTGGTGTTACTAATAAACTATTGGCAAAATATTTCTACTAGGGCTGGTAATTTAACGCGTTAATTATGGTGAAAAATAACGTGTTAAAATTATTAACGCATTTAACGCACTTGCCCCGCCCCAGACCTATGTGGGTCATCTGACATTTCATACAGTTGATTGATGACAAATATGAGGCAGGGCAACAACTCACTGCGTGATGGAGCCTAGAGAACGTAGTTAGAATGTCCCTAAAATTCAAGATATGGGGCAAAAATGCCCCTGTTTGAGTTTTTGTCTCATATTTACATCATATAGTTAAGCAATATCACACGAGCAATAGGCTAAGCGCAATATCACACGAGTGCAAATGTGATACTGATCTTATACAATAGTTCAGCAAGTAAGAAGTTAATATGGTGTTATTTTAGACACAATGTTGTCTGTTTTGTAGGGGTGGACCAGAATATTCGATTATTCGAATATTAGTTCGATGGGTTGGCATTCAATTTTAAATTTTGAGATTTGAATATTCATTTTTTTTCCCGAACACCTGGCATCCCCAGCGAAACGGTTCTCATTCGCGCTTGAATATGAATCGCCCATTAGTGAACGTCATGAACATCATGATTCATTTCATCTGGTAGAGAAAACAAAAATGCCGAAGACCTCAGCTGTGTGGGAGCACTTTAAATTGAGTGAGGACAAGACAA